GCAACAAAGGAGTGGCTCAAGAAGAAGCACATTAAAATCATGAAGTGGTGTAGCCAGTCTCCAGACCTTAAAGGATAAGTTCACCTTTTCGGGCAGAATTTCACTTTTCATAATAAATGGAAGCATTTTCCAATGCCATTTTTGGCCCAGCCATCCCAATGTGCTTTTTTTTCTCGCTTACCTTTAATTTTTTGTCAATTTCTGTGAGATTTTGAATGGATTTTCAGATTTCATAATTTCTGTAGATGTTCTCTCAGCATTCACTTCCTTTAGGCCACTTCCTAGAAGCCTTCATTTCTTTGTTGCATCACAGAATAGGGTGTGTTCACCATTCTGAACCACACCTCCCTCATTATTATATTATTATTATTATTATACAGTATTTATAAAGCGCCAATAGTTCACTCAGCGCTGTACATTAAAAATTACAATATTACCTTCCTCCTATCAGCTATGTAGTACAAGAGCCTGTCTGATTTGATACAAATTGAATAGATTGTTCAGGTGTGTACTTTTATTCCATAGTTCTGGTAAATCTAAAGGAAATTGTACAGAGGTTGTACAATCAGATTGCATAGTGTATGGCCATCTTTACACACGTACATAGGAGGGAGTGGATAGAGACACTCAGTTGTCAGGCCCCGTTCACATCCCCATGTAGTGAAGTCTCACATTTCCGTAAGCGTTTGTTTTGGGTGTTTTGGAGCATTTTCACTCGTCACACATAGGGCATCTCATTCACATGAATGAGCTTACATACACGTAACAATTGCCCCAGAAAAGTTCCAGAACTTTTTTTGGAGAAGAACTGAAGTTTTTGGTGCATTTGCTGCACTTAGGATGCCTTTAACATGTATTGACAACACAAATACGATGCACATCGTGTTTCTGAAACGCATGGCAAATCGTGCATTTTCTGTGCAGATTGCCATGCATTCGGAAACACATAGATGTGGATGGAGCCTCTTTGTTCTGTGTAAACGCACCAATTTCAGTTTCAGGCCCCATTCACAATGAGAGTAGAAGGAGCGCATGTTTTTTGGCTCGTTTTTCCAGTGACACACATAGGGCAGTCCATTGATTTCAATAGGCTGCGCTACATGTGGCAAAGTAGCTCCTGGGACATTTTGGCGTGATGCGAGTTGCACATTTTTTTACTGCAAGTTTTGCTGCATTTGTCATGCATTTTTTCAAGTAGCAAAATGTGTGCTTGTTTCTGTGTTTGATGTGCTGTTAACAATTAATGACACAGAAATCGCAACTAGTTAATTTTAGGTGTATAATGTGACCATACCCTACACAAGTTGATAGTACACTCTCTGACAATCTCCTTTAGACTTACCAAAACTAAATAATAGGAGGACGCAGCATCTATCTAATTACTCTATATCCAATCAAGCAGGCCTTTTCATTACATCAGGGGTGTCCCGTGGGCTGCATGGGGTCTGAGTCCATCTGATGGGACGCTGGGGTAGCCAGGCAAATACACATGGGGAGAGAGCATGGGGATGCTGTGAAAAAATAGTTGATGGGTGAAGGTTGTGTTAATACACACTGAGGTCACAGCAGGATATGTGTGCTAATGAGATCAGCTGGTAAACTGCTTCTGCGGTCCTACTGGCTCCTCTGTCCTTTGTCTACATTCCAGGAATTGAAAAAGCTTTCGAAGAAATTTAAAAGATCAAAGAGAGCTTGAATATTTTTGCAACTGAGATACATTAATAGTATATTGGTGCATAGGGGAGCTGGATATTATTTTAAAAGTAAATTTAGCCTTTAATTCCATAGAAAATTTATGGGGGGAGCTGAAACTTCATGTTGCCAAGAGACAGCCAAAAAACCTTAAGGATTTAGAGAAGATCTGTAAAGAAGAGTAGACCAAAATCCCTCCTGAGATGTGTGCAAACCTTGTAAACAACTACAAGAAATGTCTTACCGCTGCGCTTGCCAACAAGGGTTTATCCACCAATTACTAAGTCATGTTTTGCTTGGGGATCAAATACTTATTTTACTCCCTGAACTGCAACTCAATTTATAATGTGTTTTATTTCTGGATTTTCGGTTGATATTCTGTCTCTATCGTTTAAAATACACCTATGACAAAAAAAATTATAGACCCTTAATTTCTTTGTAAGGGGGCAAACGTACAAAATCTGCAGGGGATCAAATAATCATTTTCCCCACTGTATCTTTTTGGAAAATTACATTTTATTGTACTCACCACAAAATCATTTTCTCTACAGTGTTTATTAAGGGACACTGCATTGTTGGTGTACACTACTGCCTGCATTTGACACTGGGATGTAAAACAAAAGAAAAAGGACAGCTCCACTTGGTGGTTATACTCAACAACTGCTATAGAACTACAGTTGTAGAAAGCAGTAATTGAAGCAGAACTAAACCCATCAATTTAACGGTTTCCCAAAACAGTTACATTCAAGACACATTTTCTTGTGCTCTCAACTGAATTGTCAAACCATCAAATGGCTGGTGTCCTCGATGATCACCTGTGCAGAACCATGGCAACTACGGATCAAACAGAGGCTAAAATGGCAGCCTCCTTGGCTGTTAAGGATAAGAGGGGTTAACTCTACTTTAACACCCAGGAAAGATGTGTTTCTTAATGAACGATGGAGAAAATAAGATTGTATATAATCCACGGCCATTGAGGAACACATCACTGTAAATAGACCATTGGGATGGCTAAAAGCAATTCCTAATGAATACACCATAACACCAAAATAAATAGGTGAAAACCTCAGTCCTCCTGCAAAATCTTACATCTGAAGCTGGCATCCGCTAATGCAGCCACATCCACTTTGCTCTGCTGTAAAGCTCTCTGCATCAATTTCACACTTCCAACATAGTGGAATAGTGTTTCCTCTGCAGGCCACAGTAGTTTTTCCTCCATGTACATCTTTACTGTTTCCTACAGTTACTAGGGGTTGGCAAGAGGAGCCCCAAACTCCAAACGTCGGACCATGCTATTTAACACACCAGACAGTTGGATAGTATCTGCACACAGAGCAAAGTTTCTGCAAACCTGCCACTGGACAGGTAAGTACATATCTGCTTTCCAAAAAGTAACAGCCACTAAAAAGGCCAACGTTCGGAACTAAGTGATATCCCTAATAAGCTTAAGCTAAAAGGACCAGATTAGAATTCCGTGGCTCAAGAGGAGGCTTGACCAGAAGAATGCAATCATTTTGGCATTGGTATGACTCAGGGAGTGATTTGCCAAAGCGGCTAAATGAGCATATCTATGGCCAATACCTGACCTATGGTACTCAGCCCTATGTGTCAAACCACTACCAGCAAAAAAAGGACAAGATTCTACCAACAGAAAAGGTAAATGAATTAAAACTAAAACATTCACACCACCTAACCTACAAGTTGCAGTGAAAGAAGAAGTAGACTTTGGAGCCTTATAACTGATCCCTAAGCACTTAAATCATTAAAAAAAAAAGTTAGTCCCTCCTCCAGCTTATGCAGAATACAGCACTTGTTTAGTCTAGGTCTAAAAAGAGTGAACCTTTTCTTTCTCCATGGTTTCACGGCAGCTAGAATGGTGGCCATCTTTGCTCCCACTATGAAATGTGGACAGGTACTCTGACATCATCTAGTATAATGCAGAACCAGAGGTGACCGCTGGTCCTATATTGGATGTGATGTTATTGGCGAGATGGGCATCAACATGACTTTGAGACCAACAAGGAAAGTGACTTTGTTGGACTGGTCAACATTACCAGAACCAGCATGTAGAATCATGAAATAAGGAAAGATTTACCCAGTGTTATACCAACCCACTGACAAAACAAGTGTTGTATTCTGCATCAGTTGGGGAAGGTGGAAGGGAGGAGGCACAATTATTATAATTTTGTAACTGCTCAGAATTGAGCTTTACTGCAATAAACCCCTATATCTTAACACCTGGGCTTCCAACAGCCATGCTGCTAAAGCCAGCGACTGAGACGCACAGTGGAATCTGGGGCCTTGAACCAACTGGTCTAGACAATTTAGCAGGCAGGTGGCTGTGAGGAGACAAAGTGGTTGTGAATGCAAGGGCCTCCTGGATCAGTCTGGGGCTAAAAGTTTGAAGGGAATCCCTTGTAGCATAATCCTCTGTAGGATTTGGGGCAAACGCCTCATGTGGGTCGAAGGGGCATGTAGGTTGACGCATATTGTTCAATCTCCCAGTGGATCTTTGGCTCTTGAGATGAACCTGATTTCTCAGTACTCCTCGTTTCAGACCCTGTACTGTTGCCTTCCAGTTTGTTTTCACTCTTGATTCCTGCATAGGTCTAGTGCCCGTTACTCACCTTGCCTATTATCTTTGACCTCCTGGACTCTATGGATTCGGCCTTGTGCATGGCCCAAACTCACTAGCACACCACCTCTTCTGACCTTGGCTTTGCTAATAACCATGTTCCTGCTCAACATTTTGGATGCTCTGCTCTTGTTATCCTTACCAACAAACCTTAGCTATCCACCTCAATTACTCCAGTCTGTTAGCGCACTTTCATTGGACACCGCCTCTTAAAAAGGTTTGATATACTGGTGCTTCCAATTCTGGTACTTAATCCTTTGAGCACGTACCAGCGATGCACATAAAGCATCCACAAATGGTGACTGCTAAAGGTGAAGCATGCCTCAAACCTCAAACACCTCATATCACCTGTATTGACATTCTGTACAAATGGGCACCAAACCAAAAGGTGAAAGAGTCCAGACTGCTTGTAATTGTTCTTCCTTAAAACAGTCACATAAAAACATATTTAGAAAAAATAATAATAATTAAAAAAATAAATAATTAAAAAAATATATACAATAAATTATATATATATATATATATATATATATATATATATATGTATATATATATGTATACACACACACACACACTATTTTGCCAAAAGTATTGGGACGCCCCCCCAAATCATTGGATTCAGGTGTTCCAATCACCTCCATGGCCACAGGTGTATAAAATCAAGCACTTAGCCATGAAGACTGCTTCTACAAACATTTGTGAAAGAATGGGTCGCTCTCAGCTCAATGAATTCAAGCGTGGTACCGTGATAGGTTGCCACCTGTGCAATAAGTCCATCTGTGAAATTTCCTTGCTACTAAATATTCCACGGTCAACTGTTAGTGGTATTATAACAAAGTGGAAGAAACTGGGAAAAACAGCAACTCAGCCACAAAGTGGTAGGGCACGTAAAATTACAGAGTGGGGTCAGCGCATGATGAAGCGCACAGTGCGCAGAAGTCGCCAACTGTCTGCAGAGTCACTAGCTAAAGACCTGCAAACTTTGCATGGCCTTCAGATTAGCACAACAACAGAGCTTCAAGTAATGGGTTTTCATGGCCAAGCAGCTGCATCCAAGCCTTACATCACCAAGTGCAATAGAAAGCATCGGATGCAGTGACGTAAAGCACACCGCCAATGGACTGTAGAGCAGTGGAGACGTGTTCTCTGGAGTGACGAATCACATAACCGGATGGACGTGTCTGGGGTTGCCAGGGGAATGGTACTTGCCTGACTGCATTGTGCCAAGTGTAAAGTTTGGTGAAGGGGGGATTATGGTGTGGGGTTGTTTTTCAGTGGTTGGGCTTGGCCCCTTAGCTTCAGTAATGGGGAACTCTTAAGGCATCAGCATAGCAAGACATTTTGGACAATTTCATGCTCCCAACTTTGTGAGAACAATTTGGGGATGGCCCCTTCCTTTTCCAACAGGACTGTGCACAAGCGCACAAAGCAAGGTCAAGAAGACCTGGATGATTGAGTTTGGGGCGGAGGAACTTGACTGGCCTGCGCGGAGTCCTGACCTCAACCTGATAGAACACCTTTGGGATGAATTAGAGTGGAGACTGCCAGCCAGGCCTTCTTGTCCGGCATCAGTGTCTGACCTCACAAATGTGCTTCTTGAAGAATGGTCAAACATTCCTATAGACACACTCCTAAACCTTGTGGACAGTCTTCCCAAAGGAGTTGAAGCTATTATAGGGTTAGTTGCACAAATATCAGAGTATTTTTAAACTCATGTAATGAGCTGCACTGTGTCAAACTTAAACTGATTGCTTGTGTATAAAACAGTGATTCAAATAAAAAGATATAAGCATACTTTGGAAAATCGGCATAAGGGCTGACATAGACTCAAAATGAAATATAACCAAATTAGGCATGACGACTTTTACATAGTTATACTAGTCCAAGCATGTATATGCCATACCTGTGGGTCCCTGTAGAAAATACCCTCTTCTTGTCCTGGTGCACAACCCAAAAACAGTGATTCAAATATATAAGCAAGGCATTGGATGCTGGATATAATCAAGGTATAGGATTTTATTTCACGTTCACTCTCAGTGACAACGCTAAACAGGATAAATAAAGGCTGTGAATTTCCCTAATGGGAATACAAACAGGAGCACTGTCTGATCAAAAAAAATAAATAAATATATATATACAGTATATACATATATATATTTTTTTCCTTAATACAGATAAATTTTGTTTTAGTTTCCTTTGAGTCCATTCAGGTCTTTATTCCCTTCTTATAGCCTTTATTTGAATCACTGTTTTACAAACAGACATTCTACTTAAGCTTGATTTCGACGTGCGGCTCATACAAGTTTTGCAAATGCAAACCATAACATTTAAATAGCAAGGTTACAAAGATACCATACTTTGCTGCATCTTCTTTAAAAGCTTGCCCTTCTTCTTCCTTGAGCCAGTCCAAAGATCCCTGCTGCAGGTTTCCTCTTCTGGGGTGGCTCCATTGCCACTCTTACATGCATGCTCCAAGGACAGAAACCACAAGACAGTTGCATCCGCTGACATGAACAGGCAGCAACAGAGGATGAAGACAAGGCACACATGCCCTGAAGGGGCTCAGGGGACAATTTAAAGTTGTTATCACTGCTCACTCTCCTACTGGAAGTTTGGGAAAGCAGTGGAAAGCAAGTCTAAGGCTTCACTTAGTAAGTGTATTTGATTGTGTTTATATACACATTTTTATTCTTCTGCTCACTAGTTTTCCAACCATGATACATAAATGATAATACAAATTTTGTTGCCTGGGAAGCTATAGGGCTAGGGCCTTTTTTTCAAGTTTTTTCACTCAAAGCACCCTGCATATAACCACCCAAGTCACACTAAGGCAAGAAATCAGTTGACTAAAGTTCAGTATTGCATTGTACATGGACACTAGATCCTGCACCATCTGATCTGTCAATTAGATGTGACAACACTTGAGGTACTGATACAACAGTCTGGACATAATGCTCTATGGCAGAAAGGGGCAGCTTCACCTGTTCAGTATACCCCAACTATATACTTTTGTTTTACAAACCAGTGTCCAGTTCACCAAGCGATCTATCTGCAATGCTGTGTCCCTCAATGAATGACAGACAAAATTGGGATTTCATACTTTCTTACCTCTGTGTTTGGCAGTGTCTGTACCCCTAGAAGGGTTATTCTTTCTAAGCCCTTCCATTACATCTTGAATTCTCCAGATTTCTCTCTGAATGTGTCTGTTCATCAGCTCATTCTAAGGAATAAATAAAGAATACAAAACAGTTTGCTCTGTCTCAATGACACAAAGCGGTATTAAACCCAAAACCAAAAATTTTATATTTGCAGCTTATCAATCATTAGATATGGTGGCTGCATTAGTTTTCTTTTTTAGTCTTTTCCCCTTTGTTTTCACCTGGTGATCTGGCCAGTAACATACCTTCTGTATAACAATGTATATAAAAAGTTGATTCAGGGAATATCCGATTGCCTCTCAGGAGATCAGGAAGGAATTCTTTCCCCTGCACGAGAAAATTGGATCATGCTTTGCTGGGTTGTTTGCTTTCCTCTGGATCAACTGTGGGTATAGGTTTATCGCTTTTTTTTATGGTTGAACTGGATGGACTTTTGTCTTTCAGCCAGACTAACTATTTAACTATGTTATGTTGCAAATCTGGAGGCGCAAAGGGGACACCTTTGGAAAGCAGGATTGTTAGTGTCAGGGGAGGTGGGTGTTAAATGTACTAGCAGATTTAGATACACTAAACAATTTAAAGCTGAACTCCAGCTAACACTTTATGTACTTACAACAAACTGTTTTTTTTTTTCTTTTTGGATTAAGGTTTTACATAAATAAATAAAAACTAATCATTGTATGCACTCTTGCCAGTAGTAAAGGGTTTGTCTCTGTAACTGATATATTTGCAGAACAGCTTACTCTGTTGAAAAAGAAACAGACCTACTGGCCAGATTACCAGGTAAAAATAAAGGAAAAAAGCCTAAAAAAAGAAAACGAATGCAGCCACCAAATCTAAGAATTGATAAGCTGCAGTATAATAAATGTTCGCTTTTGGGTTTAAAGCTGAATTTTAGTCATACCATCAGTTTTGCACAGCTGTACAGGCTCCTCTCCAGAAAATTGCTTACTCTGGTTTCACTGCACACTGTGAGCTTTAACAGAGTGTGCATTGGAATTTGCAATAAGTCAGAGACTTATTTCCTGACTGGGGGATGTACAGCATCCTCTAGTTCTTTTCACAGCCTCAATGTCCCTCTTTTTTCATTGATTAGATTTCAGTTATCTCCATCATAGAGGCTCAGCATCACCTGTGGGTGTTACCAAGGGCAATCTGCATGCAAATACTGTCTGCCGAGGAATGTTAACTCCTTCAAACCAACATCCAACTATTAAGGCATTTTAATAAATGGTAACACCACTTTCATGGGAAAAAATATAGCAATTAAAAAATATATACCATTTACAATTGCTACACAAGCCATATTGTAATTTGATGTTAATAAAAGTACCTTTCATTTTCACTCTGCAGCTACTGTACATTTCTATAAAATTTAGTGCAATATGGAAAACTGGTGACGTTCTGTACAAAAGCTAGTGTATAGAATGCTCCCAGAAATATAGTTTCCTCCTTGGTGAAAAACTGCAACAAATGTCATTTTGGGTGAGATATTCCCAAGGGATTAATCACTTAAAGGAAAGGAATGCAGACACTGCAGCTCTTCTAACCAGAACTCTGAAAGTGCACCAGCTGCTTATAATGAATGAAGTCATTCCCATTCAGAATCACTATGCATACAACATAGTCTAAATAAATAAAAATTTATTCTAAGCAGAAACAGGTAGGAAAATTTGCTAAAATCATGGTCACATTTGTATTGCTGCCTGTGCCCCTGATTAGGGAGATTCACCATCTCTATTAATTCTGTCTACTATTATCATAAGAGTGAACATAAACTACAATCTCAAATTTTGGGCCGTCACCAGAACAGAGGGGAAATATTCCAATGGGGTCACTAGCTCTGGTAATAACCAGGCATTCCCTCACTTTGGAGGGATTTCCTTTGGCTATGGACCGAAAGGTGATGGGAAATCTCACCAATGGGACACATGACAAAAAAAATGATAGGGTTCCTCCCTTATTTTATCAAAACTGAAAAAGAAAAATTTGACTTACCTGTAAATTCCATATTTTGGAGTACACAGACTGAGTATTCATAAATTAAAGGCTTGGCTTATAGGCTTGTACCTTCAGGTGATTGGACACTGGCAAAGCACTCTCCCTGGGTGCCCCCTCTATAACCCTGCCCCACTCCCTCAGCCCTCAGTGTTGTAGCAAGCAATGCAGGGTAACCAAGGAATAAAAGGGCTCTGTACATTCCCAAGCAATGAATGAGAAGGGTGGGGGCAACATCTAGGCAAACAGAACTGTATCAACAGGTCCAACAAGTACAAAGGGTCTACAGACATAATATAGAATGCTGCTGCAAGAACCTTGTGGATGAAGGCTGCATCCATAGAAGATTGGATGCAGCAAGTAATGGTTGACTTGGAAGCGGGGTGCCCCTTGCAATATTCTGAGGGCAGGACAAATAGAGAATCTGTCTTCCTATCAGAATTTGTTGCTTTGAGGTAGACTCTAATGGCTCTGACTACGTCTAGACAATAAAGAGTAATTTCTTTGAGGTGCTTTGAAGCATGGAAGAATGATATCTTTATTGAGGTGGAAGTCTGATACTACCCTGGGAAGAAAGGCCTTGGGTGTGGGACTATGTTGTCATTGTGAAGGACGGGGAAAGCTCCTTGTAAGAAAGACAGCAACTCTGAGACACGTCTGATGGATGTGATGGTGACTAGAAAGACTACCTTGCAGCAGTGGTCATCCAAAAAAATATCCTTGATAGGTGGTTTCTGGTTTTCCAGGTGCCGACATCTTGACTAAGAGAAAACAGCTGTGAAGCTGCAAGGCTTCACGGCTGGGTCCCCACTATGTATGTGCAAGCCATGTTGTGCTTTGTGAGTGGTCCCTCAGTCTTCTGGGACCTGTGATGTGTCCCAGAAGG